CTGACGAGAATTTATCGAAAACAAACGTATGTTCGCTAATTTATCTTCTGAATATTATGTTTGGTAAATAAACACACAAAAATGGTCTCTAGATATCGTTTGGACAACGCTAGCTCCCTCATTAGGAATATAGCCTACAATCACACACCGCACAAGAAAATAGCTCAGCTACCGCTTATAAAAACGTCCATAATGTACTCCCGACTGAAACTTTCCGACGTCACAGTTCTTAGACTCAAAGGTTAGAGCGTTCGCCTCTGGCCGGAGACACGCGAGTTCGAAACTCGGTTGTGAGGGCAATTTTCGTTGCTACACTGGAGTTGGGCTACCACCACCCGATGATGCCCAATGAGGCAGAAAAGGCCTCAGTGGTGTGCTCTGTGTTTGCCGGTAAAATAGCATTGGTTCTTAGATTTTCCAGCTTACTACTAGTTTATGTTAGAAGATCAGCTGTCCACTTCTTCAAGATAAAATAGAAACGGAAATCAAAAATGTGGTAGTGAGTAGTACTCAGAAGAAAGACGGGATAGCCTCGGGGCTTAACTATTTTACTGTAAGGCGTTAAACATGCGCACAGAAATATTTACATTTGTCAGTTTTAAGATTTTTTAATTGAATAAGCAGTCGGCATGTGGACTGTGACTTCCTCAATCTAAGTAAACTAAACTTAAAGGGTTCATAATTGAGGCATGGCCTAATAAAAATCAGCGACTATCAAAAATTAATAGAACGCCTTTTTATATTTTGGCTGCTCTTGACACCGAATAAAGCAGCATTTCGTAGGCTGGTGCTTTCTGTGTCCATCCATAGTCAACCACAGACATTAATTGCCTTGACATTAGTATCTTAAACGGGACGAAGATAGACACCAACACGTAGCCCAATTCCAATGCTGTACGTCAAATGGATTTCCATCAGACTTAGTGATATATAACTCAATGAATGTTACTTCCAATTATCCAATCAGCATTTTTTATTCTTTATCTATCGATTGTTGATTTAAGCAATGGAGCTTATTATGACTGTCATGACATGAGAGGTTTACAAATAATATTCAGTTTTTTGTTCCTGAGTAGGCATAAATATAGCCTTTTTAAGTCCCACAAAAAACTAAAAAGTTTATAATAGAATCGTCCAGAAATAAAAAAACATTTTGGATACCACGTATAGTTAAAAAAACGAAAATGCCTGCATTTATCATGATCGATCAGCAGTTTAAAGATATGGCTCTTCATACGCAGGTATAGTTATTATTTCATTTGAGATATTCCTGATTAATTTGATCAGTTTGTGGATCACCCGGCGACTTTGGTGGAGTTTGAGTTGATGATAGCAAGGACAACGCTTGAGTACAGCTGACGCTCTAAAAACCTTAAAAGCTGACACCACTGTAAGCCGTGGTTTTAAATATATGCGGGTCAAGTTCCTCGCCCAGCCTCCTTAAACATCACTGTCCTGTTCTCCATCACTCACAATCACCAACACACGTTCTGGTCTTACAAGTAGTACCAAGTGCCTCAGCCTGTGAATTCGCTTTATGTACACAATACTGCTTATCTTAACTCTTTCTTACCGAATGAAATTTGACGTTAGGAGAACGGTGATCTAAGAAGACCAACTAAACGGGCGCTACCTCGTTATTCAGCGTCCACCATCATAGTACTTGGGCTAGCAGCCGAAGGTAACAAGGTCGCACGTGTTTAAGATGCAATTAAAGACCTCAAGAACTAACGTTTTGTGTGGACACTGGTCATAAATACCGTCATTTGCTTGGCAATACGACATGTTGTTTACATTGCCGTCATCAAGAAAATGCTTTTTTAAAAAAAAGTAAGATCATAGCATGTCTGTGAACTGCCACTACAAAGAGCATTCGTCTACTGCACAAACGCGAGGTCAAATCTCACAGACTACATGCCTACTCAGATGGAAAAAAGTGGCTGGTTAACCCACTGACCACATCGAGACCGCATCAACTAAATTTCGCGAATCATCCCACCAAGGAAATTTAGCTACCAATAGAAATGGCATTGGCTTCTTTAGGCACCAACACGCAGTCCGGACCTTCAAGCCGTTCGTGTCTGTGCTAGAATGTTATTTCTCCCTGAGAAGCAGGTTGAGACCTCTCTTCTAACACCTACAGTATAGATGTTACGCCCTAGCCAACTGGCGGTTGACCATCATATTGTGGCTAGGCGAACCCATCAGAAATCTGATTGATGATAATTTAATGAAAATAAAAGTTCGATATTACGAAAAACTATATTTTACTGTAGCTAAACGAACAAGCAGTTTATATGCACCCCAATGGGGGGGCTACCACAATAGCAAAATTACATCTAAACTAAATAAGGCAGTGTTGTGCACCCCATCGGGGGTTTGTATTAGCAGAGTGTTAATGGAAGGAGAAGACCACGGCCAGAATGGCGACAGACGGGCCTGACATCCAGGTTGCAGTAGAGCCTTGGTTGGTATTAGCAGAGCAAAATCTGGCTGGTAGTAATTTTGCTGTTATGCGGTCAGTGCCGTTAGCATCAGTTATCGTGAGAAGCGCCGGTTTCGATTCGACTTTGGCCCTCACGATGACATTTGAGATGTCTACAAGGAGAAGTGAGCTGTAAGGGGTAGGTATTGTTGCGGGTTGCATTCAGCGAACTGAAGGCAGCCAAGACGACGTGCATAAACACAAAAGTCTGTCTTACGTTTCGGCGTTTTAAAGCAGTCCTTAATGGAACTCGTTGGACAACCTGGATCCGCCTGGATAACGGCCCTTTCGTTATTCCCATTTGCGAGTATAGGAACCATTTTCTAAATGGACGTAAAACAGTTAGTTTATTCGGTAGCAAGGTTAAAAAAGTGTCAGTCTGCAATGAACAAAATTTAGCGGATGCTGAAATCGTTGTAACATTTCGGCCTATGAGATAAAGGAAATCGTTGGCTTACATTTGGCTCGAAGTCAAGTTCTAAGTCCGCTGACACAAAAGCCGTGGCTGGATTGAGTGGGACGCCGACATTTGCTGATGAGTTCACTTTAGTAATTTCGAATTCCTTTGTAGCATTATTGTCACCCTCAAACCGCAATTTTGGGGTGGCAGTCTTAATTTGTACAGCAAATGACACCATGTATGTATCTGAAATTCAAACGTAGGATAGCGGCTGTTGGTGGGGTTATAACGCATTAAGAAGCTGAAGCAGGGGTAACGGCACGTCTATATTTTGAAATGGTAAATATTTGGTTAATAGTAGTTGGACTGAAGTTACCTTTTATCGAATAACAGTTTTTAACATATGTCTTCGGACACGACGCCTCGATGGCCTTGCCGTCTATTTTGACTGGTTTGTCTTTAGTGAGGGAGAATCTTAGTTCGAATTCATAGATGAACACTTCGTTTGCTGGAACAGTTGTTTGGAACGTGACCTTCACGGAGTGTACTGCATGACGAAAAAAAATAACTGCTCATTTTGAGTGAACAGCAATTGCCACAGAGAACACAGAGTATTAAAACAACTGCAAGTAGAACTTACCTAGTGGCAGTAGGACAAGGAGGAATGCTGGAATCACCATCGCTATATTGTGATAAAAAGGCCCGTTTGGTGAATTTAAAGATTATATGATTTTGCATGACTAAGAAAAAGCTCTTAAGGGATACAGAAATCTTTATGAATCGTAGATTCATAAATTGGGCCAGAAATTGGTAGATGTTCATGCCTCCCTTCGAATGTTACACCGACTTCAAGT